TTAGTTTGTGAGCTGAATTGCAAGGCTAATCAAATCCGAAGCCCCCTCTGGGTGGGTTAGACATCCTGGACTCCAGCGCAGGAGGCTCCTCTAGAGGGACCAGTGAGTGAGCTGCACCGAAACCATGGAGGTTGCTTCCTTGTCCTCCATTCTTCTTCTTTTTTTAAAATAATGTATTTTTTACTGTTGATAGTATTACAGGTATCTTCCATTTCCCCTAACCCCTCTTCCTCTCAACCCCTACCCACCTACCCCCAGGTCTTCACTGCCCTATCCCTCCATTCTTCTTTAACTTAAAGAAAAAATACACTGAGGAAAAGGAGAAACACTTAAAATAATTAACTTGTCACGAAATCACCAATTCTACTGGGTTCCACAAATTCTATAACTGTTGTAAAATTTTCAAATCAATTCAATCCTTCCAGATTTCTTACTTAATTCAACTGCAGGGAAGAAGAAAGAAAGAAAGAAAGAAAGAAAGAAAGAAAGAAAGAAAGAAAGAAAGAAAGAAAGAAAGAAAGAAAGGAAGGAAGGAAGGAAGGAAGGAAGGAAGGAAGGAAGGAAGGAAGGAAGGAAGGAAGGAAGGAAGAAAGAAAGAAAGAAAGAAAGAAAGAAAGAAAGAAAGAAAGAAAGAAAGAAAGAAGAAGAAAGAAAGAAAGGGAGAGAAAGAAAGAAAGAAAGAAAGAAAGAAAGAAAGAAAGAAAGAAAGAAAGAAAGAAAGAAAGAGAAAAAAGAAAAAAGAAAAAGAGGGAGTGAGTCATGGCAATACAAGAGCTGGAGGGCTATGACTCCTATATTTAAATTCTCAACTGGCTCGGTGATGCCCTGAGCCAGGCCTGGCATTGGTATCTCCCTTTTAGGAAAGATGTGAACATTTGAACAGAAAAAGCATGGACACAGAGTCTAGCTGGAGAACACAGCCAAGATTTTGGATGGATGTTTCAATCGCTTGGAGGTGGGGCAGGTGCCCACCATGCCAGCTTTTAGGAGCCTGGCCTCTACTATACACAAATAGCATGGAGCTGTGGTTATAGGCACAGCTCTGGAGCCTGACTTGTTGTGGTCACAGCATAATCCCAGCAGGTGCCCTCACTGAGAACTTAGACAAATTCCTTAACACTATGATTATGATGATAAAGTGAGGAAAGAGCAGAGGCCTGTGCCATTGGGCTTAGGAAATGTTTACTGTGAAGTATCAGATGCCATTTGCAGATTCCAACGTTTCTTACACGGTGCAGATTATGGGCATAATCTAAAGGTGATGGTTTTTAAAAAGAAAAAAAAAAAGAAGAAGATACATAGTGGAAACTCACTTTAACATATTTGCTAAGGAGTGGAATTCAGTAGAAGTTGTGTCTTTCTTAGAACCAAGGCAATAGGTGCTTTATCGTCACAAAACCAAGGCCTCATTTGCAACCAACGCAAACTCCCAGCATGAGCCTGGAACATACTTTGGAACCAAAATCCTAGGGAATAAGTGGCTGTTGCCACTGACTGTGATCATGTTATCTTGGACAAGGCACGTAGCCTCCCAGTGTTCTCACCTAAACAAAATGAGTTGGAGGAAAGGGTATCAAAGATTTCTGCGAGTCCCATTTCACCCTAACATTCTATAGTTCTACTTAATGCCATGAACTGTCTGAAGTAGAATAAAACCAGAGAATGAGAGAATAGTGCCCAAACTGTCACCATCTAGGGTAGACAGGTAGCACTGTATCATTTGGACTCCTGTAAATATGCTGTTGTTGAACATTTTTAGTCTAGACTCCCCAACTGGATTAAAAACTCTTTGAAGACAGAGCTCATGCATCACTCTTCTGATTCCTCCTTGGCCCCTGCCCAGCATTTAACACATAGTAGCATCGGAATGTGAGCCTAATTCCAAAAGCGATATACATCCATTCACATTATAGCTTCATAGTCATGCCAGGTACTTGTTATCAGTCACAACAATCTAACTCAAAACAGGTGAGAATAGCAAGGCACATGACCCAACAAACATATTGCTAGCCTTTCATTCATTCACAAATATCTTATATAATAAAAGCCTAATATGCAAACCGACCAAACAGCAGAACGACCGGTCGAACAACCGGTCGCTATGACATGCACTGACCACCGGGGGGGGGGGGGGGCAGATGCTCAACGCAGGAGCTTCCCCAAGCCTGCAGGCCCCAGGCCAGCCAAGGCAGGTGCCAGGCAGGTGCCAGTGGGGGGGGCCCCCCTGATCACCCCGCCAGTCACCCTACAGATCGGCCCTGATCGCCAGCCAGGCCTAGGGACCCTACCCATGCATGAATTTCGTGCACTGGGCCTCTAGTATATTTAATAACTATGATGTACCAGGCCTGGTGTTAGGTTAGGGATGCCCTCCATCACCATCACAACCCTTAAGGTTCTCACACAGGCAATGTATAAGTCACCAATGTGTATCGATGAAGCATAACTAAAAACTGAGCTGTGTCCACAATGCTTTTTCTCCCAAACCATGCCTCCCCTTGCAGACGAAGGAGCCGCCCTTCACCCTTGGAGTTCTATTAGTACTCATCATGTCAGCAGGTGTGATGTTACTAAGTTTAAAGAAAACACATATGCATTTCAGGGATCTGTACAGATCTAAAACCTAGTGTTAATCAGCAATATTTCGGCCCTTCTTAAAGCAGAAATATACTGTAGACTGGTGACTTCTTTTCCTAGAAGCCTTCTGAACTTGACATTTCCTCCTGCTGTGTTTCTGGTCCTACAGACTTCAGCAAAATACTCTGTGGTCTGTAGATTGTCTGTAAACCCACTGACAGGTATCCAATACAGACCAAACGAGGACATTTTTCCCCCCTATCTTGCCCTCAGATGATGCTGTGAAAAGTAAAAGTTCATCAGATGCTGTGAATTCTTAAGACTGAAAGGCCCTTTGCGATTCATCACTCTGACAGCTTATCAGCCACGGAGTGACTTTCCTCCATTTAAATAGCAGCCTGGTTCCCTCCTATGGCTCCATCCCAGTTGCTAAGGTTCTCTAAATGCTAATCAGGAGATAGAAAACACTCTGTGATCTTGTAAAGTGATCACCCGGCAATTCGGTAAAAACAGAGTATAAACATCATGCCTGGATACCTGCATTTGTTGATCAAGGATCAATGCAGAAATGACCACCACAGAGGTTGTGTCTGCCACCACAAAGAGAAATAGAATATTCAAACATTTTTCAGATAACAATATTGATAATAATAATAAAAATCAACACATTTATATCAATGGTTATTTGTGGCAAGAAAGGACAGGGGATTGAAGTTATAAAGCTCACAGATCTAAGGCTTATATAGCGAGACATAACCTGGTTCTGTGAAAAATATTTGAGATAGGAATATGTAAACATTTCCAAACAATGTGAATAATGGCATCTGGGTGCTTAGTGAACGAGAGAATCAACGATGCCATGTCTGACAGTCCTTTTTAGAAAGTTGCTGTGGTTTTGTGGATAGAAAATCAACTTAGAATTGAGAGGTCTTCGTTTGATTCAATCAGCATTTACAGTCTTCCCAGCTTCACCACAAATTCAGTGAGTGAACATTATACAGTCATACCTTCTTCCTACAGCTTACTTTTTAGAGTTGTCTGTGAAAGGATCCAGGTTGAGTGCAGTTTTTTTTAAGTTCTGAGTCATCACTCATATTTATACACGTATATAAGATAATCAACTAACAGATTATTTTACTCAAAAGCTAGTAGAGAATTCTGTATGATGATTTATTAAAAGAAAACCGCCCTGCTAGTTTTAGATCTATATAGAGTGTCACAGAATCTCAGTGCTGGAAGCATCCTCAAGACACAGAATGAAGTGTATTTGGCAAATATCCATATATATGTAAATTGACCTAAACGGAACAATTAATGTTCAGCATTAATCAAGTGGGGAATCATAAAGGACATGGAGCCCTGCAGAAATCAACAATGAGATTGTTCCCAGAAGGAAACAACAAAGATAAGATGCCGAGCCAGGATTACAAAATCAGAGTTAACCTCAAAACCATCAGAGAAATATATCCTCTTGGGAATGCTGGTAATTTCAGTTCAGCATAACTTCTTTCAGATTTTTATTCATTAATGTCAAGTCTGGTTTTAATATTAATTGTTAAGGGTCAAGTTCAGACCCAGAAAGCACAGGCGTGCAAGTAGATACAACCTGATGTGTTTATCTTTTCAGTGCACACTTTCTGCTGCAGGCGTGTGCCAGATGTAGCAGCAGCTGTAGGAAGTTGTTTATCTACCCTCTTGACCTTTGGTGAAGTGTTAGGAGATGGTAAAAATCATGTTTTTAAATAATAGGCTTCTCCTTGCAAACTATCATCTTCTTAGTATTAGTCAAAACACATCAATAAAGGCATTAAGAAGGTCAAGAACTTAGGATTGTGTCCCAATGATATCTGTAAAAACATATTTCTGCAATGATTTAAAATACCACAAAGACTCTCTGCTTATTTCCAAATTCACTTCATCCATTCAACTTTCAGTAAATATTTATTGCACTCCCTCTATGTCCAGGGCACAACTAAAAAGCGCAAGTAAAGTGAATCCTAACATCTGTAACATTGTGTCTTGCCAGAATTTTTACAAATGCCAGTTGTGCTTTGCAAATTTATCCTTTAAATATTTCAAAATCTATTAATATTCTCAGGATGAGAGATGGTTCAAAATCATGAGGCATACAAACTGAAAAAAAAAATACATTATTTGGGGGGTTCACAGCCAAAGGTAAAAATGTCAGAGGCGAATGCCCCAACTTCCTTGTAGAGAAGAGAGCTTCAGCCAACTTTAGGGCCACACAGCTTCTGTATTGATGGGCTCACCACTCAGGTCTGTAGGGATTACAGTAAATGCAAGTGGGATTGATCTATCAACCTAATCACTCATGAGAAATAATAACAATGTCATTAGCTAAGTTTCCAAAACAACCCAGTTCCTGCTTGAAAGTCAATCCCTCAGAAGCATGCTAAGTCTTACTTTTGTTATGACATTTGGATGAAGTCACAAAGGCTCCCTTGGTCTTTCTCTGTCAGCATCAATGTCCCCTGGGGAAACCAGTGTGGTGATATCAAAAAAACAAAAAAACAAAGGGAAACAAGTTACAGTTTCCAAAGAGAAAGATACAAACAATAATAATTTTAAAGAAACCCAGTTAGTTTCTTCTTTTGATCCAGTAAAAAATTAGAAAATATAATATTTTTCCCCCCAAAGTTAGCTTGCAACCAAAATCAAAATGTATTCTCATACATCTTCAAATCACATTTATTGATTTGTCAGCATTCTCTTAACCTGATAAAATATTTTTAAACTTGAATATTCACATTGAATTGTATTTAGAAATACTTACTATATGTATATAATTCAATTATACAGGCATAAATGAAATCTTTGGCAAAGAACTGACAACTGATACAAAATTTTATTTCACTTTAAGATATATATTTTTTGTTTTTCTTTTCTTTATTCTTTTTAAAACAACCATGGAAAACTGTAGCTACAGGGACGTCACAAGATACCATGTAAATTTTATTCATTGCTTTGTGTGTGTGAATATATGCATGTATGTGTATGTCTGCATGTGTGTACTTTTGGGGAATATAAGAATTGACAGACATGGCCCTTCTGTGCTTTCAAGGAGTTCTTAATCTAGTAGTTATACTTTAGAGCTGATTTACTTGATATGATTTTCCCTGGAAAGCTTTGCTTATATAGTGAAAGGCCATTTATTCATTATAAAATTATTATATCACATAAAATTTGGAATTTTCATCTTCCACAACTGGCTCTTTTCTTTTCCATTCAGCATACAACCTGAAAGTAGGCCTTAAACTCTCCGAGCTTCAACTTTTCACTATCACATCAACTTCCCTTAGAGAGATGACGTTTTTCAAACAATAACTTCCAAACATTCTGTTGCAACAGCAACCTATTTGACTGATTTTTCAGGCATGCAAATTGCATTTACTCAGTCTGAGAGAATGGCTGTAAAAGGACTAAAAGAAACATGAAAAAATTCTGAAAATATTTACAGATGCCAGAGAACAAGACAATCATTCAATCATTCAATAAATATGACCTAGATGTCTACTTGTTGCTAGCTGTTGTGACAGAAAATTGTTTCCAAATGTCTTCCTCACTCACTTCAGAACCATGGTGAATTATGATGACCATGTCCTGGCCATGGTCATAGAAAAACAGCCCAAATCTCTCTCCTAAAACATTTTTGGTAGGATTCTTGTAAGAAAGTGTTGATGGGGAAAATTTTGAGTGTTACTGAAGGCAAAAATATGTGTGTTATTGGAATGATATATGGACAATTCATATGGTGTGATAATACATAAATATGGTGTGATTTTAGAACAAAAAATGAATTGACCCTGTAACAACAGAAGAAGAAATGGATAAACTACACCAAAATTAAAAACATCTGTGCCAAAGACACAATCAACAAAGTGAAAAGGCAAGTCATGGAATGGAATAAAATACTTGCAAATCACATATCTGATATAAGGTTAATAACCAGAATAAAAAAGTCCTATAACTCAGTAACAACAAAAAAACACCCCAATTTAAAGTGGGCAAAAACTTGAATAGACATTTCTCCAAAAAGGACATACGAATGGACAATAAACACATGAAAAGATGTTCAACATCATTAATCATTAGGAAATATAAATCAAAACCACAAAATCACTGCACACTCATTAGGATGGTTATTATCAAATAAACAGACAATAACAAGTGTTGGCAAAGATATGGAGAAAGTAGAATCTTTGTGCACTGTTGGTGGGAATGTAAAGTATTGCATCTACTATGGAAAATAGTATGGTAGCATCTCAAAATAAAAATAGCAATTCCATGTCTGGGTATATATCCAAAAGTAGTGAGAGCCAGGCCATAAAGAGACTTTTGTACACCCAAGATTATAACAGCATTATTCACAATGGCCAAAAGATGGAAGCAACCAAATGTCCATCAACAGATGAATGGATAAAAAAAATGTGGTATATACATACAATGGAATATTATTTAGCCTTAAAATGGAAGGAAGTTCTGACATGTCATATAACACTACAGGCCCAGTACACGAAAATCGTGCACTCAGGGGAGAGAGGTCCTTCAGCCCAGCCTGCACCCTCTCGCAGTCCAGGAGCCCTCGGGGATGTCTTACTGCTGCAAAGGTGGGAGAGGCTCCTGCCACCTGAGCCTGGCTTCTGACTGAGCGATGCTCCCCCTGTGGGAGCGCACTGACCACCAGGGAGCAGCTCCTGCATTGAGCGTCTTCCCCCGGTGGTCAGTGCGCATCATAGCGACTGGTCGACCAGTCGACTGACTGCCTCTTGGTGGTCCGTGCATGTCATAGTGGGCGGTTGAGTGGCCTTAGCATATTACGCTTTGATTGGTTGAACGGACGACTGGACAACTGGACGGCTGGACACTTAGCATATTAGGCTTTTATTATATAGGATGGATGAACCTTGAGGGCATTGTGTTAAGTGAAATAAGCCAAATAGTGGATGATTCCACTTATATGAGGTATCTAGAATAATTAAACTCATAAAGACAGAAAGTAGAATGGTGATTTCTAGAAGCTAGGCAGGGTGAGGGAAATGAAAAATTGTCTCTAAATGAGTAAAGAGTTTCTGTTTTGAAAGATGAAAAGAGTTCTGGAGATCTATTTCACAAAATGTGAATATATTTAACTCTACTGAACTGCACACTTAAAAATGGCTAAGATGGTCTATTTGTGTTACATACATTTTACCACAATTATAAATAATAAACATAGGTAAATGGTCCCAATGCAATTGTAGAAAGTTGATTTTTTAAAAATACTGCTCTCAAGGATTTTAAAAGTCTGAACTATTTCAACTGGAGTCAACACACAGAGGGCCATCAACTCAAAAAGAAAATGGAATCCAAAATGTAAGATAAGGTCAGCAAGCATCTCTCCTCATGATTGACAGTAAGAAAAATAACACACAACAGAGAGATTACTTGAAGACTTTGGGACAGCCGTGGGCAAACTACGGCCCGCGGGCTGGATCTGGCCCATTCAGCTGTTCTATCCGGCCCGCGGAGCCGAAAGAGCAGAGGGTTCTCTTGCTCTCCCCTCCGCTCCTTCACCAGCAGCAGTGTTAACATGTATTAGTTCACACAAACACTCCATCCATGCTTTTGTTCTGGCCCTCCGGTCCAGTTTAAGAACCCATTGTGGCCCTCGAGTCAAAAAGTTTGCCCACCCCTGCTTTGGGAACAACAACTAGTAATTGAACTAGTCAGAGCCCACCAGAGAAACAGAGCCAACAGAATATATGTAGAGAGAGTTATTTCAAGGAATTGGTTACGTGATTGCAGGGCTGGCATATCAAATCTATAGAGCAGGCTGCAGGCTGAAAATCCCAACAAAAGTTAATGTTGCAGTCTTGAATCCAAAGGCTATATAAGCTGAGGCAGGGTCTCTATGTTACTGTCTGGGGGCATCATTTCTCCCTTTTCAGGGGACCTCAGTCTTTGCTTTAATATCCTTCAATTAATTGGATTAGGCCTATCCACAGTATGAAGGACAATCTGCTTTACACAAAGTCTGCTGATATAAAATGGTAATATCATCTAAATAAGAATAATCTCATTTGAATGCGAATGGTAATCTCATCTAAATACCTTCACAGCAGCATCTACAGAGGACTGGTGTTTGAGCAAACAACTGGTACCATAGCCTGGCTAAGTTGACACATAAAATCAACCATCTAGTAATAATATAGTTGGTTTTTTTTAAACAAGCACATCTGTATTTGTACAAGTGAATTTTTTTTTTATTAAATCTTTATTGTTCAGATTATTACAGTTGTTCCTCTTTTTCCCTCCATAGCTCCCCTCCACCCAGTTCCCACCCCACTCTCTGCCCTTACCCCCCACCCTCTGTCCTCATCCATAGGCGTACAATTTTTGTCCAGTCTCTTCCCGCACTCCCCATACCTCTTTTCCCCCTGAGAATAGTCAGTCCACTCCCTTTCTATGCTCCTGATTCTATTATATTCACCAGTTTATTCTGTTCATCAGATTATTTATTCACTTGATTTTTAGATTCACTTGTTGATAGATGTGTGTTTGTTGTTATTAATTTGTATCTTTACCTTTTTCTTCTTCTTTCTCTTCTTCAAGGATGCCTTTCAGCATTTCATATAATACTGGTTTGGTGGTGATGAACTCCTTTAGCTTTTCCTTATCTGTGAAGCTCTTTATCTGACCTTCAATTCTGAATGATAGCTTTGCTGGGTAAAGTAATCTTGGTTGTAGGTTCTTGGCATTCATCACTTTGAATATTTCTTGCCACTCCCTTCTGGCCTGTAAAGTTTCTGTTGAGAAATCAGCTGACAGTCATATAGGTACTCCCTTGTAGGTAACTGACTGTTTTCCTCTTGCTGCTTTTAAAATTCTCTCTTTGTCTTTTGCTCTTGGCATTTTAATTATGATGTGTCTTGGTGTGGTCCTCTTAGGTTTTCAATATATTGCTCTCTCTCTTCTGGCACCCCTATAATTCGGATGTTGGTACGCTTGAAGTTGTCCCAGAGGCTTCTTACACTATCTTCATATTTTTGGATTCTTTTTTCTTTCTGCTTTTCCGGGTGGGTGTTTTTTGCTTCTTCATATTTCAAATATTTGACTTGATTCTTGCGATCCTCTAGTCTGCTGTTGGAACTCTGTATGATATTCTTTATTTCAGTCAGTGTATGCTTAATTTCTAGTTGGTCCTTTTTCATAACCTCGAGGGTCTCACTAGACTTATTGAGGGTCTTACTAAATTTATCAGCGGTTTCTAGAAAATTCTTGAAAAACCTTATAACTGTGGTTTTGAACTCTATATCCAGTAGTTTGTTTTCCTCCATTTCTGTCATTTGTGACCTGTTTCTTTGTCTCCACATTTTTTATGCTTCCCTGTGTTGATAGAGTGGCTTTGTGTGCTAGGTGTCCTATACGGCCCAGTGGCTCAGCCTCCCCAATTACCGGAGGTGGACACTCTTGGTGCAGCCCTTTGTGGGCTTTGTGCACAGTCTTGTTGTAGTTAAGTCTTGATTGTTGTTGGTATCACTGGGAGGAATTGACCTCCAGGCCAATTGGCTGTGAGAATCAGCTGTGTCTGCAGTGGGAGAACTTCTGAGCTGGAGACACCCTTAGGGGCAAGACTTGCTTCAGTGGGGCTTTGGTGCTCACTGAGTCTGCCCCCTGAGTGTGTCCCTTATGGATCTGAGGAGTTGTAATCTGGATGGTCCCACTCTGACCACTGGGTACACTGGCTCTTGGATTTCTAAGGAGGTGCTAATTTAGCCTCTGCCTGAGGCTACCCAGCAGGAGTCCAGCTGTGAAGCAATGCAAGCTGCTGTGGGGCCTTGGGCCTTCTTTTAGATGTTCTGGGTTTCTCTGATCCAGCTGCAGTTTGTCAGGTAATTTTCAGATTGCAAAGGGCCAGGCCTTTCATATGCAAAAGCCTCTGCACACAGCTTGGGTGGGGTGGGGTCTCAGGGGATCAACAGGGTGGAGCAAACAGCTATGGCTGCTCCTCAGTCCTGGCCTAAGGCCCTGCTTCTCAGTGTCCCTGTATCGCTGCAAGCACCTCTGAGAGAAAGCTGCCCTCGAGTTCCGCCTGACGCCAGACAGTCCAGTTTCTCCCCTTATGAGTCTGGGTCCCCAGAGACTCACCTGGAACTGGAGTTCAGAGCAGTCGGGAGCTTGAGACTCCCTCCTGATTGAAAAAGACAAGCGTGTCCTCAGCTGCCAGCCCTTTCCACATGCGCCGTGTCCTCAGCTGCCAGCCCTTTCCACGTGCGCTGCGTCCTCATTTGCCAGTCCTTTCCGCGAGCGCCTCCGTACCTCTGCACTTTACTTCCGCACCTCCTCTGAGTCTCAGTGTGCTTTTCTCTTTCCTTCTAGTTGTAGAATTTCCACTCAGCCAGCCTTCCTGTGGTTCTGGATAATGTTGTTTTGTCTTTTAGTTGCATTTTTGAAGTGGTTGTGCGAGGCCGCAATTTCCAGTGTTTACCTATGCCGCCATTTTGGTTTCTGTACAAGTGAATTTTTAACTCCAAGTAGACCCGTTGGGAAGTTATACACTGATTCCACTGATGCTTTCTTTGTTCTGTTTTGGAAAGTCTCTTTTTGTACCAGCCACAGAGCCAGTATCCAAAGCAAACAAAAAGAAAATAAGTCTCTTTTGCTTATAGTAACTTTTTAAAATAGCCAAAATGCTATTAATTATTTATTTAATTAAATTATTAAAATAACTTTGCTGCAAAGACTTTGGGGCTGCTATTTTTAAAATCAAATTTACTATTAAAGTTGAAAATATACCACCTTTGATAATCTTTAAAAATATGTCACTAGAGGACCCCCCTTTGAGCTCAGGGGTTAGAGTGTCAGCAGGTTTGATTCCCAAAGGCACATACCCAGGATGCATATGGGAGGCAACTAATCAATGTCTCTCTCTCTCTCTAAAAAAGGGTCACAGGTTCGATTCCCAGTCAAAGGCACGTACCCAGGATGCATATGGGAGGCAACTAATAGATGTCTCTCTCTCTCTCTCTAAAAAATCTCCCTCACCCACTTCCACTCTCTCTACAAAAAAATCAATGATAAAAATATGCTCAGGTGAGGATTAGCAAAAAAAAGTATATGATTGTCTAACCACTGTGCTGTACACCTGAAACTAATACAAAATAATATTGAATGTAAACTGTAATTGAAAAATAAAATTTTTTAAATAAAATAAATTATAGTATTACCTTAAACATTAGACAAAATACTGTGTAGCTGTCTATAATGGTATAAGCTGGGACAAAAAATGTACAAACAACTTTTAGGTAGTAAAACTCTTAAAATTTGTGTGCCATACTTTGTGTGCATGTCCGCTTTTTAAGGCAAGAGATCCTAACTTTGATACAATGATGTCCTGGCCAGTTTTGCCCAGTGGATAGAACGTCAGCCTGCAGACTCAAGGGTCCCAGGTTCGATTCCGGTCAAGGGAATGTACCTTGGTTGCGGGCACATACCCAGTAGGGAGTGTGCAGGAGGCAGCTGATCGATGTTTCTGTCTCATCGATGTTTCTAACTCTCTATCCCTCTCCCTTCCTCTCTGTAAAAAAATCAATAAAATATATTTTTAAAAAATGAGTTACAATCCCCCCCCCAAATTTAGGAAACTGTGTAGCAGAAGAATATTTAATTCAATGGAAAAATATTTGTTATATTGCTGAATGAAAAGGTAAGTTATAAAAAAGCATGTGTGGTATGCTGTATTTAAAATATTTTATGTATGTTTAGTAAATTATAAGAGAAAGACATATACCAAAATGTTAGCAAGAATAATCATTGAGTAGTGAGATTACAAACCAATTTTTTGTTGTTGTCTTATTTTGCTTTGCTATTTTCTTGTCTGCATTTTCTCAGTTTTATACAGTAGTATCTATTGCTTCTGTGAAGGAGAAAAAAATAATAAAAATTTAAGTTGTAAATGGAAAGTTGAAGAATGATTTACCAGTGTGTCATCAACACAGTTCAGATCAGAGTACATGAGTTCTAATGGTGGCCAACTGACACCTGTTTGATAATAATAGCTGTAATAGTAATAGCAATTATGATAATCATAATAAACTACTTTATAAAAAGCTATGCAGAGGGTCCCCAGTTTCCTCATCTATAAAATAGAGTAATATTAGGGAGTAATATTACTCCCTATGACACTGAGTTGTTGAAATGATTAGATGAAATAACACAAAAAGAGCATTTATTATAATACCTGACAGACAGTAAGTCCTCAGCAAATGTTAAGATTATTTGTTATAAGCACATTAGTTCATTTTAATTTTGAAGTTTAGAGAAATTAGATTTATTATATTATATATCCTACTAGAGGCCCAGTGCATGAATTTGAGCACTGGTGGGGTCCCTTGGCCTGGCCTGCGAGGATCAGACCAAAACCGACTCTCCGACATCCCCCCGAGGGTTCCTGGATTGCTAGAGGGCGGTTCTCAGGTGATGCACCCTGAAATCGGGCTCTCTCCTCTCTAGTTCTGGGTGCAGCAGCTCCTGCGTTGAGCATCTGCCCCCTGCTGGTCAGTGTGCATCATAGCTACTGGCCAGTCGGCCATTCAGCCGGTAAGCCGGTCACTTAGGCTTTCATATATATATGACAACTTTTGTCTCATAGGAACTAATAATATCTCAAATGTTATTATTCTCAGACTTGAAAGCTCCTTTGTAGTAAGTGCACATGAATACCACTACTTGCCAAAGATGACCTGGTCCCATAAGATAATAACTAGACTCAGATAATGAGCAGCTTTAGTTTATTGATCATCTGTTTTCAAATTTGTTCCTCTGACAGAAAAACGTGCATGGGATGGGGGCGGGGGGAGGAAGAGGTGGGGGTGGAAGAGGACATAGAGGGGATAAATGGTGATGGGAAAAAATAAAGTAAAGACATGCTTGGATTTTCCCACATAGTTTTTGACATCTGTTAGTCATGGGTTATTATTATTACCATTAACAACAATGACATTTTTACCTGAAAGTTTCAATTTCTTTTAGGTACTTTTCCTTCGTTTTGGAGCTTTAGCTAGACATTTAAAATATAAGTTATATTCATGTTTCCTTCTATTCATCCACCAATTTTACCACTGCCAGGTTATACTGGAAACTTCAGAGAATTAGGAACAAGAGACATGGAGGAAGGAAGAAGAAAGTGGCTTAAAACAAGGAAAAACCATAGAAATATAAAGAAAATAGGAAACCAGTATATTCTATAATCGCCTAGAAGTAGGATGGGAATAAAGCAGGAGATGGCAGTGGAAGCTTCGCAGGCAGAACTGCTAACCCTCATCTTGACCACTGAGTATTAGAAAATGAAAGATGGTCATAGATAAGCCAAGCCTTTTTCTATACATTTCACAGATTGACAGTTTCAGATTTCACAACGCTAGACCAGACTGAGCCAGTCTCTAGACACTGGGTGGGAAGACTTCCTTCCAAATTTCAAAGAAAAACAAAGGAAATCTCATTATGTTCAGTCTTTAAGCTCTTGGGTAAAATTGTTGCTCAAACATGCTTATTCCTGATAAGGAAATCAGTTTGATTAGAAGTGCACTAAGACCACAAGCACTTTTCTCCTAAAGCTAGTGAGCAGTCACTCTTCAGTGAGTAATGATTTTTCCACGCTAATCAACAAAGCTTAATTACAGCAACTAACTCAAATATACCCCTTTTATTAAATTAGTTATTAATTCCAAAATCCACTATTAAAAAACTAGAGTTTTAAATTATTTTATTGGAAATATACAATTTTCTACCATCACAGGTCACCAAAAATTTAAAAATTCTGATCACCTTTGACCAAATACAACAGAATTATATGAATACCAACCATAGATCATTTTTTATGAAATCAGAGTCAGGACTCAGCTTTTATTCCAAGTCACAACCCATAAAATTCATTTTACCTAGCCTTCTCCCGCAGAATTGAAGGCAGCTTGCTGGATAAGATGACTGGGTGTTGTCTCCCAGAAATAGGAGGGAAAGAGAGAAGAAGCTAGAACAACAGAGGTTGTTGCCATTTTAAAAACATAAACTCCTGGTAGAAGTCAATTTGCTGAGCAGAAGAATCCACAGATGGTTTGAGTACTTGGCACATGTGTATCACTCTTTCATTCCATAACCGGGTATTTATTTGTGCCTATTGTATACCAAGCTTAACCATACTTTTAAGCAACTGGAAAAAGCCATGTGGTGCCAATTACAAGTTTGATTCCTAATAACTGGTCCCTGTCTATGAAAATGGATTATTTCTATTATAAAATAACTCAAATAGGTCATTTTCTCCTTTATAACTCAGATGATTAAATGCACTTTAAGATTTCTGTGATTTAGGTTTCTTTCAGGTACAAATTGAAGACCTAAAGCAGATATTTTTGTATTAAGCCCAAAGAAAAAAATAAGTTAAATGAAATATGATAATATTTCTCCCTATCTACCTCACTCCTATGTGCAGATTCCTAGTAGACACATAGTCCCAACAGTGATAGGTAGGTTAGCTATAACTTACTTTCATTGCTCAGAGAGCTAAAGTTTTAATGTAATTTTGTATATGAAGCTTGGAATCTAACATATGAGTCAGAGCGTCGGTCTTGGACTCAAGGGTTCCAGGTTCGATTCCGGTCAAGGGCACATGCCCCAGTTGTGGGCTTGATCCCCAGTAGGGGACATGCAGGAGGCAGCCGATCAATGATTTTCTCTCATCATTGATGTTTCTATCTCTCTCTCCCTCTCTCTTCCTCTCTGAAATCAATAGAGATATATATTTTTTTAAAAAAATAAAATACAATATGAGTATGGGGAGGAGTTGGGATTCATGGTGGTCATGGTGTAACCCAGGCTCCTGCTCATTCTCCCCAGCATTAACATAATCACGGGAGTTGTAAAGCCATAAAAAAATGTTTGCTATTCTGAAGAGCTTAATTTATCCTGCCATTTCAACAAACCCCAGTATATGTTTGGTTCCCTTTGATGGAAACAACCGTAATGCTCTCAGCCACCACAAGTCATTAAGAGGCCACGGAGGACAATTTAAGTGTCAGTTTTCATTTTCATCCCAATGACCCTCATTCTTGTCATATTTATTAAGACATCAATTGCCCGGCTCAGTTCCCTCTGGCCTTCAAGTAAAGAAAAGCAATTCCCTGGAGGAAACTGACAAAAAAGCAAAACTGATAGGACACTTGAAGAAGAAATAGAAGTGGGTGAATATAAGGTTCATATTCCCACAACCCAAAAAATAAACAGACCAACTCAGAAAATCTGCCTTTCTGTTGAAAATGTGGCAGAAGAGAACAAAGCAGCTCCACCACAATGTTTCCCTTGACTTTCAAGAAAGCTGGGAGGTTAAGAATGGTAGAAAAGAGATAAAAAACAAAAATAAAGAAAAATGTTAATAAAGATTGTGTTCTAGGAGACACATTATTTAATTCCACACAACCACTAATGTCAATAATCATAATCCTAGTGAACTTTTAGTCAGTGCTTAGTAAATGCCAGTTGCCACATGAAGCCCTTTGTGCAGATCACATATTTAATTCTCACAAAAATCCAATGAGGAATACAGTATTATTATCCCCATTTCATAGATGAGAACACTGAGATACACAGATGTGAAGGAACTTATACGAGGTCAAAAGGCTAACAAGTTCCAGGTTCTAACTCCAACCCCCCCCTAGTCAACTCTGACCTGGGAGTCCAGCCTCTTTTCAGAGGAATTGTTCCAGTTATCTATTGCTATTTAACAAAGCACCCCAAAACCTCATGACTTAAAACTCTAATTTACTTTTCTCTCTCATGGTTCTTTGGCTAGAGTCAGTTCAGTGAGGCAGTTCTTGCTCAGGGTCTCTCATGTAATTAAATCACATCTATGACAACTGGACTAAAAGTTATCTGAGGGCATGACTGGGATGCTCTGAATGTCCAAGATGGTGCACTCACATGGCTGCCAGGTGATGTTAGCTGACAGCCAGGAGCCTGGGTTGGCCTACCAACCAGAACATCAACACATGGCCATCCATGTGACTTGGGCTTCTCATGGCACAACAGCTGGGTTCCAAGAGGGGATATTCTGAGGAAGGATACATCCTAAAAGCAAACATTTCAAAAGACCCAAGCAGGGATTGCAAGGGTTCTTATGACCTAGGCTCAGCATTATTTCCACCAAATTCTTTTGGTCAATCGTGAGTCATAGGCACAACCAGATTAAAGTGGAGGAGACTATAAAGGGCATAAATTCCACAAGGTTTTGGGTTGATCTTTAGAGAGTAACTGCCATAATCATATCTATAAAGCACAAATCTTGATGCACCCCTTTTGGGAAGAAGCCAGAGAAGGGAGTCTAGCCCCCACGGGTTTCTGGGAATAGGGAAATTCTTGTAAAAATGTTAAGCAACTTTATTACCAGGAGGCAAATCTGAAAAAAAATGGCAAGTAAAGCAAATGCCAGTCATAAACAGAAATTTAAATCTAGTCCTCCCCTGTGATTTGTGCAGAAATAACCACTGATTGCACACAAATAATGAATTCCTCAGCATCTTCTCCAAAGCCCTGCCCTAAAGACAGTCCTCTGAGGCCTTATATATTTTGTTTAGTACATGTGACTTCTTTTTTACTCATCCTCCCATTCTATAGCCTACTGATTTAGAGGCATTATAGTATAAGTAGAAAGGGTGTGGGAGTCTTTGGAGTTTAAATTCAGACTTCTGAGTCCTTAAGGTAAGACTTAACCTTTCTGGCACTCTGTTTCCTCACCTAAATAACAAGAATAATAATATCTGCATCTACAGCTGAGTGTATGTCTGTCTCTCTATATTATTGACATACATAGTGATTATATTTTAATTCTACATTCAAATGGAATATACATATTCAATTTTCTATATAGCTCATAATACCTAATAGAAAAAAAATTAAGTCACCTTCATATCTCACTTTATAAAGAAGAAAACCAGAAAAGAATTAAATTATTGTTAAGAACTTCAGCAGATCAGCAACCTCAAAGCTATAGGCCCTAGGGCAGTGGTTCTCAACCTTGGCTGCACATTAGAATCACCTGGGAATCTTTTTAAAATCCTGATTTCTGTATGCCGAAGCAATTTCTTCACTGATACAGCTCCTAGGGCACTTGAAACTAAGGAGAAAATGAACAAATGGGACTACATCAAAATAAAAAGCTTCTGCACGGCAAAAGAAACCATCAACAAAACAACAAGAAAACCCACTGCATGGGAAAACATATTTGCCATTGTCATATCTGATAAGGGTCTAATCTCCAAAATTTATAGGGAACTCATACAACTTAACAAAAGGAAGATAAACAATTCAATCAAAAAATGGGCAAAGGACCTAAATAGACACCTTTCAAAAGAGGACATTCAGAAAGCCAAGAGACATATGAAAACATGCTCAAAGTCACTAATCATCCGAGAGATGCAAATCAAAACAACAATGAGGTACCATCTCACACCTGTCAGACTGGCTATCATCAACAAATCAACAAATGACAAGTTCTGGAGAGGATGTGGAGAAAAAGGAACACTCGTGCACTGCTGGTAGGAATGCAGACTGGTGCAGCCACTATGGAGAACAGTATGGAGTTTTCTCAAAAAACTAAAAATGGAACTCCCATTTGACCCTGTGATCCCACTTCTAGGAATATATCCCAAGAAACCAGAAACACCAATCAGAAAGGATATATGCACCCATATGTTCATAGCAGCACAATTCACCATAGCTAAGATCTGGAAACAGCCTAAGTGCCCATCAGTAGATGATTGGATTAGAAAACTGTGGTACATCTACACGATGGAATACTATGCTGCTGTAAAAAAGAAGGAACTCTTACCATTTGCAATGGCATGGATGGAACTGGAGAGCATTATGCTAAGTGAAATAAGCCAGTCAATGAAGGAAAAATACCACATGATCTCACTCATTCATGGATAATAGAGACCATTATAAACTTTTGAACAATAATAGATACAGAGGCAGAGCTGCCTCAAACAGATTGTTAAACTGTAGCGGGAAGGTCGGGGAGGGTTGGGGGGCAGGAGGGAGAGGATAAGAGATCAACCGAAGGACTTGTATGCATGCATATAAGCATAACCAATGGACATAAGACACTGGGGGGTAGGGGAGGCCAGGGGATTGTCAAGGGTGGGGGAAAAAAAAGGACACATATGTAATACCCTTTGTAATACTTTAAGCGATAAAAAAAAAAAGTGTTATAAAAATAAAAAAATGAAAATAAAATCCTGATTTCTGGGCCTCATCCTCCGGAAATTCTATTTCTTTGTTACTAATGTTGTGGCCCCACCCCATAACAAAGAAACAGAATTTTTGGAGGATGAGGCCCAGAAATCAGGATTTTTAAAAAGATTCCCAGGTGATTCTAATGTGCAGCCAAAGTTGAGAACCACTGCCCTAGGGGGTCATCCTTGGTCTGTAATGGGGTCTCTGTCCAGCATGGCCCTGTATCTAGGAATATATGGTCCTAATAGTTCTATACCTGGGCAGGAAGACCATGTAAGACAGGAATAGGAACAAGAGAAAAAGGCAATGCACATAGATTATTTTCATTGCATAGTATGTGTCTCAGAGTAGATATACAATAACACTTGTTGAGTGAATGAATAAATGGGCAGACAGAAAGATGGATCAGTTTTAGTTGCAAATCTTTTTCCTCATGTCAATATTAAGAGATGGACTCTCATTCTACCTCAGGAAGTTCCCAGCCATTCCATATTCCTTAAACAGAGGTAGAGCAGAAGACCATCTCTCCCTTTCCTATCAATGTTCTTTGTATCTCAGTTTGTCCTCTCAACCTGTATTTTCCTCTTTCCTCCCACCTGTCATAGAATATCTAAAGGGAGTGATCAACAGCCAAGGAGAAAATTGTGAGCTCTTAGTCTATGAAGGGAAAGCCTCCCTTTCTTCTTCATTTAATTCTGACAATGTGGTCCTACCCTTCAGTTTCTGCATCAAGCGGCAAGACTAGTGTGAATACTTCAGAAGTTCTTCCCCAGTATGCTAGCTGCTCCTGTGTCATAGGAGGTTGAGTAGGGCTTGTCCTGTTGCCCTGGAATACAGTCAAGAGCTGAGAAGAACAAGGGCCTAAATACACCACACTCTAAATGAGTCACAACACAAGGACTTTCTGAAAATTGGCAGAAGCAGCCCTACTATCATCACCACCATTACAATCACCCTACCCCCAAATGCATAAAACATTTGTCAGCATAAGCTAATGAGGAAAAAGAGGAAATAGTTGAATTGAGAGCTACCAACCTCTCTTGGGTCCTTGATGAGACATTTTATACAAGATTGGAGAAGTGTGCTTCCCTACCCCTCAAGAAGCTAAGAGGTGGACAAGGTTGCAAGATAATCCCATTTAGAGACTCAGGGCATCTGAAAAAAAAAAAAAAAAAGAGGAAACTGGCACCTCACCTTTGGATAGATACTCACTGAATTGTACAATCTGATGTCTCACACTGGGATTACTATCCAAGTGGAGTGTGGTAAGATGTCTCTTGGGAGAGTGTGACAAGCTTCTCCTAGAGTTTGGAGATATCCATGAATGTACAGCCAGGTCTAAGCTGCTCTTCTGGAAATTTATGAAGGCAGAATACCTTCTAAGAAGCTCTAGGGAAAAGATGGAAACAACAACCTATTAGAGGATGCACAAGTAAACTCTAGTAGTTCTCATGCCTACTGCATAGGACATAGAATCAGAGGGATGGAATTAGAAGGAGCAGCAGAATTTGGAGGCCACCCAGGGGGCTTTCAGGTGAAGGTAAATGACTCCCCCATTTACTTGGAGGCTATCTCTTCCCTAGAGAAAGTGTTGGAGTCATGGATCATTGGTGGGGGCAAAAGAAGACACAGCTACCCTCTCTAAAGTGGTCTGCAGCAATAGAGAGGTCGAGAGGAAGATAATATCCCTATAAATCCAACCACACTGTCTACAGACTACCACACAGCAGCAGAAAGATTCAAATGACAGACCCAACCAAAGGACAACTAGGGATTCCTTTCCGCCACTGACTCTGGCCCAGCAATCTAAGATCTTGCTCTTTCATCCCTTCTCCCTGATCCCAACTGAGGAAGGTTCCAATGGTTCTCAACTAAAGCAGAATGAGTCCCAGGGGGTGTTTGGAAAAGTGGGAGTGGTATTGGTTATCATAAAGACTGAGAGGTGCTACGAGAATTTGTGTTGGGGATGAAGGAGAAAAAATAGTTAAATATTCTCAAATGTGCAGAGCAGTTACACCCTAAGAATTATTTCATCCAAAATGACAATGGTAACCCTTGCCCCCCAATGGAGAAACAAATGTGTAGATCCAGGAGAGCATGGAGGTATGTTCTCAGGGTAGATTATTTCTCCTCCATCCCCCCACCTCTCGCTTATCACACCCCCCCCCTTTTATTTCCAAGGTGAAAACTGTGGTTTTGAAGAGATAGGAGATTAGATTTAAATTGAATCTGAGATTAATATTTTGAACTAAAATTTTTATAACTGGAAGAGAGCAGAAAATTGCCAGAGATGTTAAAGAGTAGGAAGTGGAAATTCAGCTGAACACTATAGAAATCAACAATTGGAAAAAATACAAACATTTCATGTTTACACCCCCACTTAGTTAAAGCTCCACGTTTACCTCCCCCACAAGGGGAGTAGGGTCATGGTTTTCAAACAAGCCAAGGAAGGAAGGTCACAGAGATTGTTTCTGTCTGCCTTACTGACCACTGCAGATAAGCAGCTGCTGCTCACCCACTTGGAAACATTACATCCTGCTTCCGCCGAGGGCCCCGGGTGCAGCCAGAGGCTGCCATGGAGGGCTGTGGCAGTTGGCTAGAGAGCTCATCGGAAGCCTCGTGGGGGTGCTGGCCCCTGGGCACAGATGTGACACGCCAGATAAAGAGTTACAATGGGTAAGTAATAATCATGAGGTGGCTTTTCCTCGCTTAATATTAGACCCCACTGCCAAATGACCCACCAGGGAAAGTGCCCAGGTCACGGCAACCTGGCCTGGGATGAGGAGAGCTGGGAGCATCTGCCTCTGATACACATCAGAATTTGCTCTGAGCTCCCACCTCTCCACCAAGTTTGGGCTGTCTTGCTCACACAAAATGTATAATACCTAAATCCCATTTTTCCTTAGGATTCTTCCTACCTCCCTTCCTTTCAGTCTCCTCACCCACATTTAGATAAACAAATAATTGGAAAGTGCCCTTCCACATAAAAAATGCCCCACCTAAGAGGTTTGAAGATGGTGGCTGTAAAAACCAGTGTGGATTAGGACTCAGTGACACGGAGGCTGCTGGAGACTCAGCTGTTCCTCTTAAAAGGCCAGCACCACAACCTGAACTTACCAGGTCCTGCTTCCTCTGAGCTCCAGCACCAGGGCAAGGCACTGGGGAACACAAACTCAGAGCAGGAGCTCAGGTGGCTTTCTCCCAGATGGAGGTGCTCACGGGGATCATTGTTCCTATGCTGGGACCTCCTGGGTGGTCGCAGGCCTGACTGGAAGCCATTTCTGTTTGCTCTACCCTGGTGATTCCCTAAGACCCCACCTCATCCAATTTACAACCCCACCCAAGCTGTACGCAACATCTTTTACATGTGAATGGCCTTTCCTTGCTCAGGGTAAAATCTCTCAAATAAGCTGCAGCTGGGTCAGCGAGCCCCAAACGTATCAATAAAAGGCCCAAGGCCCCAAGGTCCCAAGGCCCGGCACCAGCACCAGCTTGCCTTGCTTCACAGCTGGGCCTCCTCTGGGCACTTCCAAATCCTATACAAAGAAGAGAAATCTGCAGATCTCTCTGTAGCTCCTGCTGCGTGGCCCCAGGCAGTGGCTGACTTTGCATCTCCCTGGAGACCCAAGAGTCAGTGTCAGACCATACTAGATTACAATTCTACACATCCATAAGCAACACACTCAAGGGGCAGACTCAATGAGCACCAAAGCCCTACTGAAGCAAGTGCTGCTCATAGGGATGCCTCCTGCACAGCAGCTCTCCCACTGTAGTCACAGCTGGTCCTCACAGCCAATTGGCCTGGAGGTCAATTCCTCCCAGTGACCAACACCAATCAAATCTCAACTACAACAGTCCACAAATGGGTGCACCTAGAGGTCCCAGCTCAGGTGACTGGGGAGGTTGAGCCACTGGGACCTATAGAACACCTACTACACAAAGCTACTCTACCAATTCAAGGAGACATAGCAGCTCTTCCCAATACATAGAAACAAACACAGGGACACAGACAAAGAAACATGGCACAAATGAAAGAAATGGAAGAAAGCAAACTACTGGATTATAGCGTAGTTATAAGGTTACTCAAGAATTTTCTAGAAACCTCTAAAAAAATGGAAAAGGACAAAATCCAACACCCTTTCTTGATAAAAACCCTAAGGAAAGTGGAAATAGAAGGATCATACCTCAACATAATAAAAGCCTTATATGACAAACCTATAGCCAACATAATACTCAATGGAAAAAAACTAAAACCATTTCACCTAAGATCAGGAACAAGATAGGGATACCCACTCTCATCACTCTTGTTCAATATAGTACTGTCCTGGAAGTACTAGACATAGCAATTAGACAACAAGAAGAAATAAAAGGCATCCAAATTGGAAAAGAAGAAGTAAAACTGTCATTATTCACAGATGACATTATATTATACATAGAAAACCCTAAAGACTCCATCAAAAAATTGTTAGACTTAATAAATGAATTTGGCAATGTAGCAGGATATAAAATTAACACCCAGAAATCTATGGATTTTTTTATATACTAATAGTGAACTTATAGAAAGAGAAATTTTAAAAAATCCCATTTACCATTGCACCAAAAAAAATTAAGACACCTAGGAATAAACTTAACTAAGGAGGTAAAAGACCTGTACTTGGAAAACTACAGGATGTTGAAAAAGGAGATAGAGGAAGACATAAACAAATGGAAGAATATACCGTGTTCATGGATTGGTAGAATCAACATCATAAAAATGTTCATACTACCCAAAGCAATCTACAGATTCAATGCAATCCCCATGAAGATACCAACGGAATATTTCACAAACCTAGAACAAACTCTCCAAAAATTCATATGGAATAAAAAAGACCCTGAATAACCCCAGCAATCCTGAGAAAGAAGAACAAAGTAGGAGGGATCTCAATACCAGATATCAAGTTATATTACAAAGCCGCTGTTCTCAAAACTGCATAGTACTGGCACAAGAACAGACATATAGACCAATGGAGCAGAAAAGAGAACCCAGAAATCAACCCAAGCCACTATCCTCAATTACTATTTGACAAAAGAGGCAAGAGCATACAATGGAGTCAAGAGAGTCTCTTCAATAAATGGTGTTGAGAAAATTGGACAGATACATGCAAAAAAATGAAACTAGACTACCAACTTACACTATACACAAAAATAAACTCAAAATGGATAAAGGACTTAAACATAAGATGGGGCACCATAAAAATATTAGAGGAATCCACACGCAGCAAAATCTCAGACATATGTCGTAGCAATATCTTTACCAATACAGCTCAATGGAAACTAAGGAGAAAATAAACAAATGGGACTATATCAAAATAAAAAGCTTCTGCACAGCAAAAGAAACCATCAACAAAACAACAAGAGAGGCCACTGCATGGGAGAACATATTTGCCAATGTTATATCCGATAAGGGTTTAATCTCCAAAATTTATAGGAACCTCATACAACTTAACAAAAGGAAGATAAAAATCCAATCAAAAAAAATGGGCAACGACCTAAATAGATACTTTTTGAAAGAGGACATAAGGAAAGCCAAGAAACATATGAAAACATGTTCAGAGTCACTAATCAGCCGAGAGATGCAAATCAAAACGACGATGAGATACCATCTCACACCTGTCAGAATGGCTATCATCAACAAATCAACAAATGACAAGTGCTGGAGAGGATGTGGAGAAAAAAGGAACCCTTGTGCACTGCTGGTGGGAATGCAGACTGGTGCAGCCACTGTGGAAAACAGTATAGAGTTTCCTCAAAAAATTAAAAATGGAACTCCCACTTGGCCCAGTAATCCAATGTCTAGGACTGTATCCCAAGAAATCAGAAACACCAATCAGAAAGGGTAAATGTACCCCTATGTTCATAGCAGCACAATTTACAATAGCTAAGATTTAGAAACATCCTAAGTGCCCATCAGCAGATGAGTGGAATAAAAAACTGTGGTACATCTACACAATGGAATACTATGCTGTTATAAAAAAGAAGGAACTCTTACCTTTCGCAACAGCATGGATGGACCTGGAGAGCATTATGCTAAGCAAAATAAGTCAGTCGGAGAAAGATAAATATCACATGATCTCACTAATTTGTGGCATATAATGAACATAAACTGACGAACAAAAATAGAGAGACAGAGAAGCATTGAATAGACCATCAAAACTCAGAGGGAAGGCAGGGGAGGGTGAGGGGAGAAGATATGAGATCAACCAAAGGACTTGTATGCATGCATATGAGCATAACCAATGGACACAGACACTAGTGGGGTGAGGGCTTGTGCTGGGGTGGGAGTGGCCAAGGAGAGGTCAAAGGGGGAAAAAAGGAGACATATGTAATACTTTAATCAATAAAGAATTAAAAAAGAAAGAAATTACTGCCCAAAATATCAAAGGTAGAATAATTTTGTTTAAAAAAAATTAAAGATTTCTTTTAGATATAGAAAAAAATGGAGAAGTATCAGTCAGAAATTAAGCATACACTGATTTAAATAAAGAATAATATACAGGGATTCAACGGTAGAGTAGAAGGTTCTGAGAATCAAGTCAATGATTTGAAACATGAGGAAGCAAAAAACACCTGTCCAGAAGAGCAAAAAGGAAAAAGAATCCAAAAATATGAAGATAATGTAAGGAGCCTCTGGGACAACTTCATGTGTACCAACATCCAAATTATGGGGGTGCCAGAAGAAGAGAGAGAGCAAGATATTGAAAACCTATTTGAAGAAATAATGACAGAAAACTTCCCCTACCTGGTGAAAGAAATAGACTTACAAGTCCAGGAAGTGCAGAGAACCCCAAACAAAAGGAACCCAAAGAGGACCACACCAAGACACATCATAATTAAAATGCCAAGAGCTAAATACAAAGAGAGAATTTTAAAAACAGCAAGAGAAAAGCAGTTAGTTACCTACAGGGGAATGCTCATACAACTGTCAGCTGATTTCTCAACAGAAACTATGCAGGCCAGAAGGGAGTGGCAAGAAATATTCAAAGTGGTGAATAGCAAGGACCTACAATCAAGATTACTCTATCCAGCAAAGCTATCACTTAGAATTGAAGGTCAGATAAAGAGCTTCACAGAGAAGAAAAAGCTAAAGGAGTTCATCACCACCAAACCAGTATTATATGAAATGTTGAAGGGTATTCTTTAAGAAGAGGAAGAAGAAAAAGAAAAAGATAAAAAATATGAACAATAGAATGGCAACATATATATATACCTATCAACAATTAACTCTAAAAATCAAAATAAATAAAAAATCTAATGAACAGAATAAACTGGTGAATAAAATAGAGTCAGTGGCATAGAAATGGAACAGACTAATGATTCTCAGAGGGAAGCAGGGTGAGGTGGCGGGAAGAGGTTAAACAAAGATCTTATATGCATATGTGCGTTACCTATGAACACAGACAATAAGGTGGCAAAGGCCTGGGGCAGGGCAGGAAATGGGTGGAGAGGAGCAATGAGTGGGGGTAAGAGGGACATCTGTAATAATCTCAACAATAAAGATTTTTTAAAAATTACCCACCTAATAAAAAATATTAGTTGGTGTAGACTTTAAGAGGACAATTTAGCAATATCTATTAAAATTTCAAATGTGCTTACCCTCTGATCCAGCAGCTTTTTAAGGTATTTATCTTGTAGATGGGTCATTCATAGCTGTATTCCCAGTGCCTAGAGCCCTAGAACAGAAACAAGTATATCGTGGATGCTCAAAAAAAATGTGTTTAATGTTTAAATGAATGACTTTGCAGTTTTAAAAGATATATTGGCAAGAAGACCAACACATAAGCTATAATTCCCTCTAGAGTTATAAAAATCACAAATTATCTTTTTCCTTCTGTTTTATAAAATTTTGTAATCCTTTTCAGTTCATAGTACTATACTGGAGGTACAGAAGTTGATATGCTCTCTGTTACCTTATTTTATTCTAGTGTGCCTCTTTTTCTACTTTATATCTCCACTTCCATTTCTTGCTGCACCTTAATCTAATCTAATAAAAGAGAAACATGGTAATTGGCGTACAACCGTTACCCTTCCCATTGGCTAATCAGGGAGATATGCAAATTAACTGTCAGCCAAGATGGCGGCCAGCAGCCAGGCAGCTTGAAACTAACATGAGGCTTGCTTGCTTCAGTGACGGAGGACTCCAACATTCCCTGCCTGCCGTTGCAGGCCTCTGAGCTTGCAGTTTAAAAAACATTGTAACGAATATAGAAGCTAAACAAAACCCCAGAAACCAGCTTTCAGCGAGCTGGGATCTCAGAGCTGGAGTCAGAGCTGGAGTTATACATTGTTTCGAACCGAAACAAACCAGATACCTACTTTCAGCAGCGGAGGCCTAAGAGCTGGAGCCTCAGAGCTAAAGCTGGCCCAGAATGAAAAAGAAAAAGAAAAAAAGGAGCGGTTGGGAGCTTCCGTCACCCGCCAGCCTGAAAACAGCCCTCAGCCCCTCACCCAGACTGGCCAGGCACCCCAGTGGGGACCCCCACCCTGAAGGGTGTGTGACCAGCTACAAACAGCCCTCAGCCCCTCACCCAGGCTGGCCAGGCACCCCAGTGGGGACCCCAACCCTGAAGGGTGTGTGACCAGCTGCAAACAGCCATCATCCCCTCACCCAGGCTGGCCAGGCACCCCAGTGGGGACCCCCACCCTGATCCAGAACACCCTTCAGGGCAAACCAGCCAGCCCCACCCATGCACCAGGCCTCTACCCTATATAGTAAAAGGGTAATATGCCTCCCAGCACCGGGATCAGCGGAGCCGCGAGGCCTCCCGGCACTGGGATCAGCGTGACAGGGGGCAGCGCCCAAACCCCCTGATCGCCCTGTGGCTCTGTGTGTGACAGGGGGTGGGGCCACAACCTCCCTATCCGCCCTGCTCTGTTCGTGACAGGGGAAGGAGCCCCAACCTCCTGATCAGCCCTGCTCCGTGCCTGATACGGGGGAGCTCCCCAACCCCTGATCAGCCCTGCTCTGTGTGTGACAGGGGGCGGTGCCCCAACTCCCCTATAGGCCCTACTCTGTCAGTGACAGGGGGCAGCGCCCCAGCCCCCAGATTGGCCCTGCTCTGTGCGTGACAGGGGGTGGCGCCACAACCTCCCCATCGACCCTGCCTTGAGTATGACAGGGGGCGGGGCCCCAACCCCCCAATCAGCCCTACCCTGAGCATGACTGGTGGTGACATCACAACCTCCCAATCCACCCTGCTCTGTGCATGACAGGGGGCGGCGCCCCAACTCCCCAATCGGCCCTGCTCTGAGCCCGACCAGGGGCTGCACCTAGGGATTGGGCCTGCCCTCTGCCACCCGGGAGCAGGCCTAAGCCAGCAGGTCGTTATCTCCCGAGGGGTCCCAGACTGCGAGAGGGCACAGGCCAGGCTGAGGGACCCCCTCCTTCCCCCCGAGTGCAGAAATTTTTGTGCACCGGGCCTCTAGTGTATATAATAAAAGCCTAAGCAACCATTATGGCTGAATGACCAGAATGACCAGTCACTGTGATGCACACTGACCACCAGGGGGCAGACGCTCAATGCAGGAGCTGCCCCCTGGTGGTCAGTGCGCTCCCACAGGGGGAGTGCCACTCAGCCAGAAGCTGGGCTCACAGCCAGCAAGCACAGCAGCTGTTGTGGGAGCCTCTCCCAACTCTGCGGCAGTGCTAAGGAGCAGCAAGACAAGCAGTAAGGAGCGAGCAGGTGGGCAGTAAGGAGCGAGGGGTCCTGGACTGCAAAAGAGATGTCTGCCTGCCGGCTTAGGCCCTAAACCAGCAGGCAGACATCCCCTGAGGGTTCCTGGACTGCGAGAGGGCCCAGGCTGGTCTGAGGGATCCACTCCAGTGCACCAATTTCATGAACTGGGCCTCTAGTGTTTATAATAAATATCGTTGCATCTATTTGTATTAATGAAAGATAAACAATGTTTTTATGTATATATTTTTGTTTTACATCTTGTTCAATTTCTTGCTCTTCTCACTATGTTTAAGATCAATCCATGTTAAAGCATGGCTATATCTAGTTCATTGAATTGTGACTGCTGTATAGTTCTATACTAGATATGCACCTTGGTTTATACTTATCTATTCCCATTGTGATGGACAAGTCCCTCCCAACTTCCTACCATTACAAATAATATTGCAAAACATATTCTCCTATGTAACCCCTTAGAGACATGTGCCAGAATTTCACTGGGGCAAATGACTAGAAAATGAACTGTGGGTCTCTTGTCCTCCTTGGCTGCTTGAAGATTAACCTCCATCATGAACAACAGAGTAACTATCCAGACCAGAAAGTTCATGACCAACAGATTACTTAAGCAGAAACAAATGGTCATTGACATCCTTCACCCTGGTAAGGCAACAGTACCCAAGACAGAAAAACTAGCCAAAATGTTTAAGACTACACCAGGTGTACTCTTTGTGTTTAGATTCAGAATCCATTTTGTGGTGGCAAGACAACTAGCTTTGGCATGATTTATAACTCCTTGGAATATGCAAATAAAAATGGACCCACAAGACATGGCCTATATGAGAAGAATAAAAAGATCTCAAGAAAACAAAGAAAGGAACAAAAGTACAGAATGAACGAAGTCAGGGGGACTGCAAAGACCAATGTTGGTGCTGGCAAAAAGAAAGGAAGTATCTGGTAGTGAGTTGGAGATGGGACAACAGAAGGAGTAAATATTCTTCAGTGACCTTATCTGTGATGATTATGCAAATTTTTCATGAACTAAGAACTTTTAAAAAGAAAAAGGATTGTGGGTAACAGAGAATAAGCATTCTTCTCAATTTCACTAAAGAGCATCATCTTGCTGTCCACAATGGCTGCACCAACCCAAACTCCCACCAACAACACATGAGAGTTTATCTTTACTCACATGGAATTCTCTGACCAACACTTGGAGTTATCAAACCTTTCAATTTTCTGTTAATTATCATTGTAAGGTGATATTTCATGGCTTAATTTGCATTTTTCAATTTCAACAATATTCGTGTTCCTTTGCATGTACTCTGCTTTTCCTTCTGAAAGATCTTAGAATATTTTTGTCTTTTAAGATCTTTATTTTCACTTTAATATATATAATTGATGGATGTCATATTCTCAATGATCTCGAAGAATAAGTGGCTAAGATTATCCATAAATTTATAATGGAAACTAGATGTGAGAAGTCATTCTTCTATTCAAACTGCTCAGGTAATGCCAAAATCCCTTCTACAATATCTTTGTCCATCATTAATCCAGTCTCTGCTTGAAATGCCCAGTTCCTCGTCTATCATTTTGATGACATTTCAGGTGTTCCCATCTTTCTTGTGTTGAATTCTAATACTTGTCCTAGACATAAAGACTGACACACAGTAGGTCTCAATAAATATTTCCTTCTCTTCTTATTTTTTCTGAATGCACCATCTCGGGTTACAAATTCTCATATTAGCCCTTTAAATATCTGAAAAACAGTCACCATGTCTCCCTTAGTGTTCTCTTCCTCCAGCTTAATATCTCCTACTCACAATACATCTCACACATCAACTTTTCTAAACCACTCAACATCCTGTTGGTCCTTTGAGCAAGCGTGCTGATTTGAAAGTCTCCTAGGCTGCCTTAAAGGGTGGTGACCAAAATATGGACCCCCAGATAAATTCTAAACAAAACAAAGCACAGTAGGTCCACGACGTCCTATGATGTTCCTATAATTCTACTACGCAAACGAAGGACACTTTCCCTTCTTAGTAGCAGCAGCTGCCGGATGGCTCAGTGAGCTCACGGACAGCACAATATCCCAGGCCTTTTCAACATGAACAGTTGCTTATCCCTGTGGAATTCATTTGGGGGACTGCTTGGATGGTTCAGAGCACAAAATGAATTCAAAATCTGTGGCTCAATCTGCCCGTCAAATGCTTTACTCCAATTTAGTTGACTTAACTCCTGATTTTTCTTCCTTCTTTCTTCTCTTCAACTACTATATGATTAATCGGACTTTAAAATCAGATAGACCAAGGTTCAAATCCCACCTCTGTCTCTTCCTAACTCTGTGAACTTGGGACAATTATTTATTTTCCCTGAAATTGTGTTGCCTTAAAAATAATAACCTTCAGTTCATAGTATTGTGGCATGCTATCCAGATTAAATACGATCTAATATAATAAAATGCCTTCTACTTAGAAGTCGCTCAGCATGCTAGTTCCTTTCTCCTGACTTTTCCCTTTCCTTCCTAAGCCTCACACTGGAAAATGAAGCACCTCATTCCTCCTAGAAATGTCTAGACTCCTGATTCCCACAACAAATCTGCCTATCTGTTTTCATATTTCTGCAACTCTACGCTCTCTGGTATAAAAATACATTAATTGATCCAAGATCATGCAGGCAGAAGTCACGGTGGGTCAAGGTGTTCTTCTTACAGGTAACATTTGCAGCTTCACCGAAGTATCCCAGACTCACAATATCTTAATGTTTTGGGGGTCAAAGTTAGAGTGTAAGGTACAAAGTCAGGCAAAGGAGATTCTCCCCAACTTAGCGCTTTGATGTCGGCACAGTGTGGTGTGATATGCCTCAGTGGGAGATGGCAGAGATGGGGGCATCAGACTGAGGAGCCATGCTAGTCCAGTAGCTGCCACAGTGGTGAAGAGCTTTGCAGGGCTCAGAGAGGCCAGACATTTCTGCTCCAGCCACATGATTACAGTCATATATGAGGTCC